TATTGAGCCAGACACAGGCTCTTCTGCTTCCAGGCTGCTCCCTGGAGTGGAGGTGTGGAGTGGCTCTAGCATTCCCTGTCCTCTTCCTCCCTGGAGAGAGGGATGTGGCCTTCTCTGAGACCAGAGGCAACCGGCAGGAGGGCAGGTGGGTGCTGGAGGGGGTATTTTGTGTAACACAACCACAGGACTGAGGAAGATGACAGATTGGTAGCTTCTGGTGTGAAGCTGCAGGGGTTTATGGCAGCAGGAGTAAGACCTATGAGGGTGTAGGGTTATTGTCTTTCACGTCCCTTAATGGAGTTGATTAAACTGGATTATTGTGCATTTAGGTTTGATTTGGGGAGTTTCTGGAAGATTCCCACACATACACTCCAAATTTAGTGTCCTAGTTATTTTTTCCTCAGTTGTCTATCCTCTTTACTTTTTTTTTCTTCATGATGTAATAACTTGCTAGTTTACGTTTTTGTAATGTGCCAGTATAATGTGCTCTGGAGCTGGGAGAAGAGCAGAAGAGAGAAAAATGTTATGCAGTTATTATATGCTTTATTTTTTTTATTATTTCTTATCCAAAAAGCCACAGAATTGAAAAAATACACTGGTAAAGGGGGTTTAAATTCAGAGAATTTTCATCTGTCCTCCCACACAAGCATTAGAAACCTTGTTTTTGCTGCATGAATGCTTATATTTCAAAGTCAGCATCAAAGTTCCTAAGGCGAAGTGAGGAGATGATTTAGCACATTTTCCTGATTGCAGCTTGTTGTGATTGGGTCTTTCCTCCAACAGTTATTTTGCTTCCCTGTTTCTTTTGGCGTTCCCCAAAATAGTTCTTCCAGGCAAATGCTGTAATTCTTATTCTAACTGGTGCACAGTAGCGAGTCTCTTGCTCCCACCTGGTTTTACCTGCTTCTGGCAAGAGCATTGGATGTCTGTCCCTTTTGAAAGGTATCTGTGAGCCAAAATGAAATGCCCCTGCCACTGACTTGGAATGAAACACAGTTTAACACTGCATACAACGTCTTTGTTGATTTTTGAGGGAAGTGGTGCCAACATGAGCAGGGTGGCTTTCCTGCAGCTGAGTAGTGCTCAGAATCCTGACATACAAAGGTGAGGACCCTTCAGCCCAGCTGGCACGACGATTAAGCAATGTGATCACCATTCTCTTTCACTTCTTTCTTGGCCCCGCTGAATCGTGATAATGTGATTCTAGTAATCTCTTCTCTCTTCAAAGAAAAAGAAATTCCCACACTTGATGGCACCCCTGACAGCGTGTGTGTGTTTTATTTGCATGTGTTGAAACAGGAATATGGTTTTGCTGTGTGAGCCACTGGAGCCTGAGGCTCTGGCTGGGAAGTGCCCTGGATGGCGTGAGGCTCTTGAGATTGCCAGGGGAGCCAGAGTTAGGGACTGGAATTTGGGCTTCATAGCTGGTGTAAAGTGTCAGCTCGTGCAGCGTGCCTGCTGGAAAATGACTGGTAAATCTGGACTGAGCTGGGAAAAAAAAAAAAAAAAAAAAAAAAAGTTTGGTGATGCTGTGGGGAGTCCCTGAGGCCTGCAGAGAAACCATTCATGTTTAATGTACTTTTTCCTGCCATACTGTTGAACTAACACAGTGCTTAAATGCCTCGCAATGGAAGTCTGCTGTGAAGCTGTTAAGGTCCATTTTTGAGGGAAAGGGAAATAATTTGGCAAAGTGAGGAATATAACTGTAGCAAATATCTAATGTGCAGCGCATTTATGCTGTCATGGATTCTTTACTGAACCATCCAGAAATGTAATAGATGCTCTGCCAGGAAGAGCTTTATCCCTCTAAAGTTTGCTGGGTATTCTTTTCATATCATGGTTTGGGAATAAATAAAGGAATATGCTTAAATAGGTAAACTGACCCTAAATGCATGAAAGTTACTCAGACAGTAAAGCTTTAATCTGAGTTGTAGCGGGTGATAGGTTATGAAATATTAGCTGTGCATATTATGGTGATCTGAACTTTGTTTCTATTTGTATTACTGAAGTATCCTAGAAAGCTGACTGCTGGTTAGAAGACTTGAGTGGGCTTTTTTTTGTTAATCTCGCTGTTGTACACTATCTTCTACCTGCCTGAAAAGAAAGAAGAGCTCAGTCAAGGTTGCCTTGGCATTCCAAACTGAATTTGGCCATGATATGACAATAGCACAAATAATGCCTGCTATCTTATTCAGAGCTTTAGCTTAATAGATCTAAAACCAAGTTGATACTTTTCCCTGGTTCTTTTAAGTTTTGCTGTATCTCTGTTATATGCTGATTGTAAGGTGTGTAATCATTATTTCCAAAGGCTGACTGTAATCATTATTTGCTCCCTCTCTGCATTCACCTTAGGCATTTAGCATTGGGAACAGGCCAAGGAAAGTGGAGAGGATTGCAAGCAGCACCAAAAGAGCAGAGGGAAACCTAGGAATTGCATCCAGGCTTGCAGAGTGTTTGGTCTAGGTCTCTGTTTGCTGTGTGAAAGTACTTTTGATGTTTATGTGAATGTTAAAGCAGGAAGATTTTTTTTTTCACCTTCTGTTAAATTTAGTCATTGCTTCTGCATTGACTTCTAACAATGCTTATGGCTGGCATGTATTGATTATATGTTTAACTCTCTTGTGAGAAAGGGATACCCAGAAGCGCAGAGTGAAAATCATTCAGTGCAGTTACTATCTTGACTTGTTATACAACCAGCATGCTTATTTCTTACGCTTAATTTCCATGTAGTCTTTATTTAAATCATATGATCTCGTCAGAGCCTTTCAACTTCATCCTCATAATGTACTTTAACACTTTGATGTTGTCTGTCTCTTCAGGGATGATTCTGTCCCAGAGGATAATATTTGGAGGGGTATCCTCTCTGTGATTTTCTTCTTTCTAATCATCAGTGTTCTAGCTTTTCCTAATGGTGAGTAAGGTTTATACTTCACTTTTTGTAACATGTGAATTTCTCTTTATTGCAACTGTATTTATTTTTACTTTTATTAAAGTACCAAATTTTTAGTGTGTTTTTTTCTTTACTCTTTTGAATTCCTTTATGTTCTAAAAGTCTAAAAATGGGTTGCAGTTATATTGAGCGGAGATAATGGTAAAATGCAAATTATTTGTAGCTTGTCTGTACCTAACAAGGAAGTCAGGTTCTCAAAATCAGTGTCTCTACTTGCAGGTGCGCAGTTGCAGCTCAGATTGCTGAGTAATGATGCTGCCAGATCCTTAAATAATGTATAAAAGGAGTCTGCCTCAGTGTGTTTTAACAGAAGTGTCATTCTACAGATTCTCAGAGATATACTACCCTACATAGATCGCCTTACCAGAAGCTAGTGATAGTTAGAAATGGTCTAAGTCACATTACAATGTAAAACCACAGTTACTCAGTAGAAGGTTAAGTTGGACAAAAGTTTTGGTAATTGTGTGATGAGCAGAAAGTGCAAAAAGGTAAAAACCCTCGTGTGACAGTTAATTCTGTGGAGGAAATGCTCTTTTCCTGTTGTGTTATTTATTTTAAATTTTTACTTATTGCTGTCAGCAAGAGCGTAGTTCTCAGGTCAAGTCTAAACTGTCTCAGGATTGGCAGTGTTCAGGAAAAAAAACAGTGATTGTGCTCAGGGCAGCTTTGTACTTCAGAGTTGGGATGTGTTTTTCTCATATTTTAAAAATCACTGATCCATACTTTCACAAAGTGCTCCCTGAAAAACTGAATGCCAGAGAAAAATGAGCCTTATGTGTACAGTGCAATCCACAGTGTGTGCTGAAAATATTTGTTCAGCCACTTCTTGCTACCTAAATGTATGATTCATGTTTAAGGGTTTTCCAGTTTCACCAGACTTACCTTCTCTGCTCCTCAAGTTAACCGAGAGGTTTTTAAGCTAATAAAGTCAGTTTAATCACTGGCTTTAAAGTAAGTAATATTGACACTGGTAAAGAGCATAGGTATCTTCTTGTCAGATATTTGATACTTGGTTTGGAAGTTTTAGGAGGCCTGTTTGCTAACATTTCATGGTCGTCTGAAGGCTAAGAACTGTGTTTCTTTGCTAATACACAGAAAATTTGTATTTGATGACTTCATTTGGAACAAGCCATGTGTGAGGTGTGGTCTAGAAACCAGATCAAGAGGTCCTCAAGTGACACCTGAGATATGGCGTCTACTGAGCAAATAGCATACTGCTGTTCTGGAAACAGCTCCATAAAAATAATGGAAAATTTTGTCCATACTCTAATTGGCAGTCTCCTTTTCTTCTCTGACATCTGGTGTTACCATTTTTTTATTTTATTTTTTTAACATAGAGCCCAAATTTTTGGGCATGTTACATAATTTGATGGAGATGTGCTCATGCTAAATCCTTATATGAGAGATACTAAAAAATGGATTATGTAGTTCTTACTGACTTGTCTTCTAATAAAGTTTTTGTTTACTGTCCACAGGGCCCTTTACACGACCCCACCCTGCAATATGGAGAATGGTTTTTGGTAAGTTCAAGTTGTGTTTCTGACTTTTTCAGTGCTTCTGCAGGACCGGATGTTTTAACTTTCAGATGAATAGAATTGTCATGAAACATAATTGTGCATCAAACTTGTGTGAATGTCACTTCCCTCCCACTTCTGAGCAGTTGTTTATAATCTGTTTTTAATTATGTTTGGGAACATCATTGTAGTGACTCTGTGTCAGGATGGTGTAAATTAAATCATCAGAAAGGGACTATTCATCCTGATACTCTGTTTTAATCCTGTTACGTGTTTGTGCTTCCTAATCTCCTTCCCCCACACCCTTGCTACTGCCATCTCTTCCACCCCAAAAAGGTTTGGGGTTTTTTATAGCTACTGCATATACTGTCTGACTTTTAACTAAATCCAGTTTAGTAGGGTGCTTCTTGTTATTGGCAAAATGTTATTACTTTATATGTTTATTAAATTGTATCATTATATAGCTTAACATACATTTATTAATATTCTTAACATGTATTCTTATTTACAGGTATTTTTGCTGAAATTATATTATTGGAAAATAATTATATTGACTACAGAACTAACTGAGTGATATCCTGCTCCTTAAACATCTGAATTACATGGCAAAAACATAAGGAATTTTATTTTGAAATAATTCAGGGTTCACAGAGGATATCCTAGACTTTAAGCACATTTGCAGAGAATTAGGCATATTTGATTTAAAAGCTGATCTGTTTCTTTTTAAGAGGAGTGAATGTTTCTCTCTCCCGCCACCTTACATAGCTAAAAATAAGTAGCTTCCCAAAGTAGCTGATTACTCATCTGTTGACATTGAGAGGATACTGCTGATTAGATAGTACTTGTTAAAGAATCCTGCTCCTTGTGAAGTTTGGGAAACACAGGTCCTACTGCTCATTTCAGGTTTCAGTGAATGTAAAGTAAAAGGTCATTCTCAATGCTGATACTGTTGGAGCTTAACCCCCTGTGCTTTCAGGGAAAAGCCTGCATGCAAAATCAAGAGCAACATTTTTCCCTGTGCAGTTCTACTTCTGACATGGCTTGTTTAGCCATGCCTGAGGTCTCAGAGCTGTTCAGTAGATGAAAGGCAGGAGTAGTGTGTCCTCAACATTTCAGAACCCTTGCCTGCAGGCTGTACTTCTTGTAGTACTGTGGCATCTGTTTACCTAATGTGTTTTTAGAATATACTGCAGAGGACAGTACATATACTTTCTGTTCATGTGTGTGTACTTGAACAGAAATTGTTCTCTAGCATACACTGGAGATGAATAACATGTGAGTTCTGGTTATAGTCTAAAATCTCTTTTTAGAATTGCTATAGTTTATTTTGGATGGCAGATACTAAGTGTATTCACATTAATCTTTCTGCCTTCCATGACATAGCTGCAGGATACATGTAAGTTTGAGTGCTAGACTATTGGAAATGGAGTTAGTGTTTATATGCCTCTACCAAATGTGGTCTTGGGTATCTGTGAACTTGTGAATAACATGAAGACATGCTCCCAACAGCAGTTTAATCTACCCACAGATCTACACCTAGGGCCAGACATTGGGAGGAGAGGGGTGGTGATCCCAAATGCAGTAGTGTTTCATAATTTATAGTGGTGTGAAAACAAGTAATAATCATATTTATCTTTAAAAGCTTCAAACGATGAATTTTCTACCTCACAAAAGTAACTCAAACATGCATTAATTTATGTTCATAACTACTCTATTGCCAGAATAGCTCAGAATTGCCAGGTGGGATTGTTAAATTGATCTTTGTGTTGAAATCTGCATATATGTTTAAGGATCTGCTTTAGTGAGACCACAAATACAAGCATAGGGACAGAGCTAACCCAGACCTGGGGTCCTAACAGATCCCTTACTAAAGAGCTTCCTGATCACAGCCTTATATTACTTATGTCTAAACTGATTAGACTGATTTTGTTTTGATTGGGTTAATGCAGTCGAGCGTATATTGTATCACTTGAAACGGGAGGTGATGTGAAGGACTGAGTGCTCAGAGATTACCATCTGACCCGTGTCTCTTAAGCTTTTTTGCATGTAGCTGCTGTATGTAGAAAACTCATTTGTTCAAACTGGGCATGTATAGAGCAACAGTTTGAAAGCAGCTTTTTGGACTCTCTGTGTCCCAAGGAGTTTTGTGAGTGAACATGATTTTAAAGCTGAGTCTTTTTGCAGGTCTCAGTGTGCTCTATTTTCTGTTCCTGGTGTTCGTGCTCTTCCTTAACTTTGAGCAGGTAAAAGCAGTGATGTACTGGCTGGATCCTAATCTTCGATATGCCACAAGGGAAGCAGATATTATGGTATGTATCCATGATACTTTATTGGACATTTTAGCTACTTTAGGAATGTTTTACATGAGTGGGAAGGGATAAATCTGATTTGCTGACACGAGCAGTGCAAGTTTGTGCCTATACTTGAGAGTCAATGAGCCTTTTGTATCAACTGCTATTTATTTACGTTAAAATCAGTTGATGTGAAAACCAGTCTTCTCTGTATTTTCTTTTCTAATGGAGATATTCAGATGAGTGTGCAGTCAGGAGTGAGAGATATGTTGTACTGGGGTGGCTTTGGATTCCTTTAAATAACATATGTGAGCCTCGATATTGAAAATAGACTTAGCAAGGTGGTATCTAAATGAAGCCTGTATGGTGTGTGTGTCCCAGATAAGGTTTTTTGATGCCACAATGCTGCACGCAAAGAACTTTAGTCTTGTCTTACTGCTCTGAGCTTAGTACATGACTGGCATGCTACTGAGTATGTGGAAATCCAGGTACAGCCAGCTAAGCCCTGGTGCTGGGAAATTAGTACCATAGACTGTGATCTGGAGTGGCATGGAAAGCCCGTTGAGCAGCTTTCAAACAGTTTTAAATACAGAGAACACTCCCCTTCAGGTGTGGACACTAGCACAGGGAGCTGAGGTAGGAAAGGGAGGCCTGGGAGAAGTATGTGAGGTATGTTGGGAGGCAGGCAGGAGAGGGTGTGGGCAGTTGAGCACCAAGCAGAAAAGGGTTACTTCATGGAGAGGCAAGAGTTGCCAGTCTTGTCTTCTTCACTATTGCATCAGGTTACTGCCCACAACCTGACCAGCATGCTTCCTTGCCCTTGGGTTTGCGCATCTGCCCACCATGGTCACCTGTTGTGTAGTAGGTGATGTTATCGGACTCTTGTCTCAAAAGTAAGGAAATACACTGATTGTCTTTGGCGGATAGCAGTTTACTGCATGTGCAAACTACTGCACAGCACCTAATCAGCAGTGGCTGCAAACTCCTGCCCTGTAGCACATTAAGAGGGAATGGAAATCTTTACAGTGCAGTAAGCTTACATTAGTTGGCTGATAGTGAGGGCTGAATACAGGCTCCTTATCTGGAAAACTCTGGATGTTCCAGGTGTTGTACTTCAGCTGATCTGCAGGATGTGTTTTGGAAATCCAGCATCCAGAGTAGGGCTGTGACTTTCTGTTCCGCAGGAGACGTGTGCTGGTGGTGAGGCGTGGGCAGCCTGCTGTTAGGGTGGTGGGAGGACACATTGCTAAGTGGAGCATGAGCATGGGGCTTAGTGACGTTGCTGAGCAACAAAAGGGAGCTGAGACAAGGAGGCTGTTGGTTAAGTCAGATTCACCTGGCTTTCCTGTCATTTAAGTTAGAAATAAATAGATTCAAGTCAGGGGAGGACTGGTATTAACTGCTGGCACGGAATCACAGTACAGCAGATTCCCTGACTGTAGCAGTCGGTGGAAACTTACTCTGTACTACTTTGTAATCCTGATACTGTCACTTAAAGTTGGAGTAAATTTTTAAAGTGCAACTATAATGAAGGCTGCAGCTTGGTCTCTTGCACAGGGCTGGCAAAGTTGCTTGAATATAAAAGGAAGTTCAACATATTTCACTGTATGACTGGCAGAACTGCAGCTGGAAAGATAAGATAGAGGGGGGAAAAGCCCTGGTAAAAATAGAAGCAAAAAAGCAAGAGCTCTGGAAAAAAAGCTTACTTTTGGAGTAACCTCATTGTGTTAACTCATCACAGAGTTTTGGATATCATGGGGTAGCTGGGAGCCTGCACCTTCCATTGCGCGTTCTGTGCTTCTCATGCTGGCAAATGAGCAGATTTCAGATCTCTTTGGGTACGTGTACTAAAGCTGAAGCTTTGCTGTCCATAGGACAGGTGGTGCACCCTTCTCTGAATGACCAGCAGCTCTGGCGAGTGTGAGAATGCTTTCACTTCAGGGAGCACCAGCAGTAAGGGCTACTTACAGTTTCATAGTAGGACTTAACTGCCTGCTGATAGAAGTATTTGTGTGAAATTGTGCATTTTCTCTTTATGGAAGCCAGGTTTTAAATCCTTTTCTACTATCCCCTTTTCAACTTGATCATGGTTCATTTGCACAGGATTAGCAATAGTTTTGGCCTGCAAGAGAATCTTTTCTTAATTCAACAGCACTGAGTAGTGCTGTGTTGTCACCTGCAGGTGGCAATGTATATTTTAGGAGGGTTGGAGAGCAGAGATTTTTAAGTGTGTGTTTCCAGTGGGGAATAGTTCAGTTTGTGCCCAATGACAAGACAGAACCCCACACATGCAGCCTCCTGATGGCATATAGATTTTTTTTTTTCTTTTTGTTGGGCAGTGATTTCTAGCACTTGCTGTACAACATGATGAGAGAACACATTTTCTTTGTTATTGATGACTAGAATATTAATTAATATTCTTAAGGAATCTGCCACTCATCTGTGACAAAACAGTTCTAAGTTCCCATTAATTTTTATTTTTTTTTTAATTCAGCCCTGTGACCCAACTTTCTTAATATAAATGTGTTCTGGGCAGTTGCTTTCGTGAGGAAAATAGGACACAAAAGATACTCAAATACTGAGATGAGAAACATAACATCACAAACTGGTGATGATTAGCCACTGATGAGCCACATCTGAACACCAGACAGCATGAAAAATGGGGAAAGGTGGCTATTTCAAATCAAGACCACAAAAAAAAGCAAATAACTATTTTCTGGAGTATTGTTTGCTGGTTTTATTATTATTGATTTTATTGCTCCTGCTGTTCTCAGTCACATAAGTAGTACATGCTCCTTCAGGCACCAAGGTCTATTCTGTTTCCCTTTAAATTACAGCTGTACTGTGATGACACTGAGCGTTAATACTGAAAGTTTTCCTGCAGAGTTTAGAAGGACAAGAAAGCAGAATAATGCTCATCCTAATATCCTTATAATTTCAGGCTTGTTGTACTGGGTAGCAAGAAGTTTCTTTATTCCAGTGTTTCTGAAGTTGCCAGTTGATTAAAGGTTTGTTTTTTTGTTTTGTTTTCATTAACAGGAATATGCTGTGAACTGTCATGTTATCACCTGGGAGAGAATCCTCAGCCACTTTGATATTTTTGCTTTTGGGCATTTCTGGGGCTGGGCTATGAAGGCTTTGCTGATCCGCAGCTATGGGCTGTGCTGGACTATCAGCATCACCTGGGAGCTCACTGAGGTAGGCCACCAATTTATCTTAATTATAAGCAAATGTATGAGACTTGAATTCTTCTTGGGAAGTATGAATGTTACTAGAAGGATGGCTCGCTAGTTCTTAGTACAGATTTACATTTTAAGCCCTATAAACCAGATGTTGAGCAATTGATGACATTGCATTAGTGTGCAACAGCAAGCTGGGGTTTAGGTAAGTGATTTACTACTACTTAGTAGGAAGGAAGTCTAGGCCAGCGTGTTGGTGCCATCCATAATTTGTTTTTCTGCTGTTATGGGAGTCAATACTCATGCTACTTCAGATGTTCACTAATATTCATAGCAATTGTTCTTCTTTTTCACCTTGTGATATTTGTGATCTACTGGCCTGATCCCCTTATCCCAAATACAACAGTATTATGCATTGTGTATAGTCATGCGTGCTGTACAGTGAAATGGAGTTGAGGGATCCCCAAGGCAGGTGTGAGGAGAAGTCTGTATGGAATGGGAAGACACCATTCAGTATGTTGTCTTCTGTTGTGAGGCCTAAGTGCATACCCCTTCTTTTGTTAAATTGCACCCCACAAGCCTAGTTTATTCATGTTCACTGACATTAAAATGTGATTTATTTTTTTTTTATTTTATTTTTTTTTAAACTAGATTTGGATCTAAACTAGTTCACATGCTGTGCAGTCCCCTGCACCATGGTTTTGGAGGACCACTGGCTTATTTTTGTTATCTAGCTTTACCACAGTTCTCCCAAGCACATTTAAGTAATTTGACTGTTGGCACTTTGAAATCCTGTTTTGGATTAAAAAAAACCCCAAACACATACTTGACTTGATACAATCAATTGACTGTTGCTTGGACTGCTGGTCCTTATTGTTAGATCTGTTTTAAGAATTCAAGCTGGTTAATTGCTACTCTAAATATTTTTGTTTGCATGTAAGCTAGAGCTTGATTAGTAGAGTATGTGTCACCTAAAATCCAAGGATGTGTTTCTATAAAAATGAGTTTAATTTCATTATATTCTTTGATTGGACAATTCAGAGGAAAAAAAAAATCCAATTTTTATCAGCTTTTGGGGCAGCATAGTCTAACGAAGTGTAGATGTAAACATGTGAATTTAGTCTTTGAAATCAAGTTTTCTGTAGAGCTTGCTGTCTTGAGAATATTTGTCTTATCTGACAAGGCATTTCTAATTCAGAAACATAGATAAGGATTTAGTTGTCTAAACTTCTGGGTTTGAAAATACTGGTGCCGTGAGTTCTTTTTCAAAATGTGTTTTTATTCTGTGGCATTGAAGGATATGCTGTTTTCTGAGCTATTTTGAAACTGCTTAAGATAGGGATTTCACAAGTACCCATCTACAAAACCCAGCTTTGCTAGTTATTGTACTCATTTTTTCCCTCTGGAAAAGAATAAATTTGGATTTGTTTCACATGCAGTCTTATCGTTCAGCTGATCATCACACACCATCGTCTTCAATTTGACACCACGTGGGTTGTCTAGTATTCCCCGTTGCTCAGTGGCAGATTATTGGAACAGACAATGTGTTGGGTAAGGTTCAACATATAGAGAGGTTATCACCACTCAAATGGATTTTTAATGAGTTAGTTAATTCAGGAGAGTCATTAGAAACCTACAGAAGTTATCAGGGCAGTTACAGAGGGATTTAGCTGTGCATCTCCTATTAGCATTAATGGATTTCAGCTGGCTCCTTGTCCTGAAATGGAACACTTGGCTCATGTTCCATACTATCGGATTAAAGTTGGGATGCAGGCAGACCTTGGTGTCTCATTCTGAGGAAACAGCTAGCGCCTTAGAGCTGATCTGGTTAACAGCTGCGCTCTGGTTTTTGCTGCCTTACTATCTGTAACTTCTGGTGGCTTTGGCTGGATTATTGCAGATTGAGATTTGTAGTGTCCCTTTCAGGTTAAATGAATTTAAAACATGAAAGGGAAAGTGTATCAGGATAATGAGCACAGCTTGGGTCCTGAAGAGAAATGAAAGTTTTCTTTTCTCCAGGTTGAAATTCCCATAGACTTGACAAAAAAACCCCCAAAACCCACAAAACAAAACCAAAAAACCAAAACACAAGTTGCTTTGATACACTTTTGCAAGAGTTTTCAAAGGAACTGCCATTGTCAGTATCGGCCACTGTAATTTATAACAAATGGACCAGTCATTCCTTCTTGCTGTATACAGAAAACATTCTTTTTGATCCTTTTCCCACATCTGATTTTTTTCAATATTTTATTTACATATTTGTTAACAAAAGATACTTCATCACAAAATCATGCCAATAGTCTTCCACAGACACAGTGTGTACATTAACTGACAAAAATTGTAGTTTTTGTGGTGGTAAGAATATTATTTAGTTTGTTACGTGTTTTTGTTAAGCATCTCCTTGAGTATTTCAAAGGGACTGCTTAACACATGGCTGTCTTGAGTTCCAGTCCACAGTTAACTTTTCCAGTCTATTTTTTGGGTTGCTGTGATTTTTCTTGTAGAATAGAGAATACAATTATTTTCTCTTAAAGGAGAATGAGAGGTGCTGAATCCATTTCTAGCTCTCAGTAAATTAAGTTTATATCTTGCCTTAACTCTTGCCAGTTGTCCTCCTTTACTCTATCAGAAGTGTAATCACCAAATGTATCTGTAAATACATTTAATTGCCTTACTCATGCCTCTCAGTGGTCTTCGGTTAAGTTGAGTATTCGGAAAGGAACAGATTGTTTCAGAGGTAAATGATTTATACACTTTCCAGGGAAAATCTTTAAGGGACTGAATATGTTTCAATATATCCAGGTGGTGTCAGCTTTTCAGTCTGATGTTAGTTTGTTTCTGGCCTATTTTCCAGTATCATCTTTGTAAATGTACTTTCATCATTAGGGCTTACCAGAGACTAAGTAGGAAGGGAGAGTGGAATATCCTCTTAACTTCTTGACCTGTTCTGGATCAAGTATAGCAGCAAAGCTTGTAGTATCTGAAATATTGGTGAACTCTTAATCTTTTTACGGTCACTAAATTTCCTAATAATAGTAAATGTAAGAAGGAGTTTTGAAATAGAACAAGTATTAAGCCCTGAATGCCAACTTGCTGTAGTACTGATAGTTGTTACAAAGGCATCCATTCTACTTACTGCATCTTCTTGCTGGTTTAGAAAACATAACTCTTAAAACTATTTAGCAAAAAATAAAACAGATTCTCTTCTATTTATTTTTTTTAAAGCACAAAACACCTTCTTTCCTCCAAGAAATGCAGCAGTTTTGCTTGTTTCATGCATTTCTATGAATGTTCTATGTATCGTCCTTGAGAGGCCAAGAGCCGCATGATATCCTTTTGTACAGTGTAGCCCCAACAGGGAATGGTGAGAGCGAAAGCTCTGATGTCTTGTGTGGTTCTATCCAAGGCCTTCTGAAGTTAATGGAAGGATGCCCGTCAAATTTCTGTGGTTGTGGCTCATGCCTTTGACGTATGACATGTACTGAAAAGCTCATTTTTCAATGTGTACTTGAAAAGTGAATTTGTATGAATTCTGTGCTGTTTCTCACCCAAAATCTTTTTGCTGTGTTCTGTAGCTCTTCTTCATGCACCTTCTGCCTAATTTTGCTGAATGCTGGTGGGATCAAGTCATTTTGGACATCCTGCTTTGTAACGGGGGTGGCATCTGGTTGGGCATGGTAGTTTGTCGTTTCTTGGAGATGAGGACCTATCACTGGGCAAGTTTCAAGTATGTCTAAATTAAAGCTTGATAAACATTGTTTGATGTTATAATATTAAATGCATTTTCCTAGGAAGTGGACCTTCTTCGCATATGTGAAATGCATGTGGTATAGAAATAGCATGCAATCTGCCTGTGCCAACAGTACTGTAAATTTATTTTGAGTGTTAAAAGTCCATCTTGTAGTAATGCTACTGTACAGCATATACTTGTAATTATGACGTATATATCATTTTCCTCTGCAATCTAAGTTAGAAGCATTGATGCCAAATGAAAATAAAGTAGTAAAGCTGTTTGCATTTTCATTTTATTTTATACAATTTAAACTTTGAAGAAGGCAGTGAACAAAACAAATTGTAATTATTTTCTCATTATACAATGTTTTTAAACTAGATTTGGGCTCAGCTTGTTGAGGCATTAGCGTGGCAATCTGTCAGCACTAGCTGTAATTGCAGAAGAGGAATCAGGCTGATTGTACCTGTAGTGTGAATTGCCTTACCCCCTTGCTGACACACTAAAATAAATGGTGTAATTGCAAAATAAAGTAGCATTTGTTGTGTACAAGGGCAACAGCATGTGGCCTAGTAAGTGTCAGTTCCTAACTGTCCAGGTATGGTTTCTACCATAGTATTTTGCCCCTCTCTTGCCTTCTTCCCTAGCAGTTGGTAGCAAGTATGGTTATCTGCATGTTACCAGTGGTATAGATAAAACAGGATCAAGCACAATGAATTGCCAAATTGCCTTGAGAGATGGAAAAGGAGCTCAAATCTTGACTTTGACATTTGTACCCTACATGAACTTCTGTGCTGCTTTCTTTTCTTACTCACAAATTTGTTAATTGGTCTGAGAACCATCCAGCCTTTAGTCTCCATTCAATTTTCCTACATTTCAATTCAGGAGGAATAATGAGCATTACAGAGTTGGTGGTCCCTCTGTTTTTAGAGAGTTCACTGAAAGTTGAAACAGCAGAATATCTATGGCAGGACTAGGCTTTACTGCCTTTGTGGAATAATTTTTCCTCACATTCTTTTAAATGCATGAGTATATTTTTTTGAACTTCAGTAGGAAGAGGAGTTGCATGGGATGAGAAGCTTTTGCTTGTGCCCTTTTGTTTTCTTCTTCTTTTTTTGTTGAATAAACATGGATCTTAAATATTATAAGGTTCCCCCTAACCTAAGATCCTGCTCGCCTAAAAGAACGCTAGTATGAGAAATAACAAATCTGAATCTCTCTTTTTGTCCAGAAGGGCCATGGAAATAACAGGGTGAAAACTGACTTCTAGCCCTGCTAGTCCTCCTTCAGAAAAGGAAACTGAGTTTTTCTTAGCATCCAAAGGACAGGGATTCTGTTGCTCATCTGAATTAATGTTATCAAAAGCAAGAACCAGTAACACATCTGTCAGACAAACCTCCATTCACATCCCCTTTCAAAAGGGAATTTAAAAGCTTTTTAGCTTTCAACAGTGATACCGCATCTCTCCAGAAGATTTGCATGCATCAGAACAGCAGGGGTTGTATATGCTGTAAGTGCAGTATTTTCAAACCTGTGGCACCAGCCCCTTATACAATTAATGAATAATGAATCTGACAGATTCTTGATGGATGGATGTCAGTGATCTCTAGAACAAGGAACTCTTTGGGATAAGAGTAGTGGCAGCATACACTAGGAAGAAATATCCTCTAGATTTTCCAAGCAGGTTGCAGAATCCTTTCCTTCATGGACAGAATAATAGATATGTTTTGTAGTTAGTTGCTGACTGAGGATAGAGGAAGGTGGGCTTTCATAGAAGAATGCACCCTGACTGAAGCGCTTAATAGATTATATTTCTTAATTCAGCCTTGCCTGGTACACAGTTGTGTCTGTGAAGATCTTCGCTGTCCAGCAAAAAAGTGTGATTGTTCTGAAACATCCGTAGTGTGGCTATTGCGCTTTTTTTTTTTTTTTTCCCCCCTTGCATATTCCTTGTATTTACTCCAGCCATTCTCTTTTTTTTCTAGGGACATTCACACGACTACAGGGAAAATCAAAAGAGCTGTATTACAGTTCACTCCAGCCAGCTGGACCTATGTCCGCTGGTTTGACCCTAAGTCTTCATTTCAAAGAGTAGCTGGGATCTACCTTTTCATGATCATTTGGCAGGTAGGAAATAAATTCTGTGAAATCAAAGCTGCCATCAGCTCAGTTACGTATTGGCTGTGTTAAGCTGGAAGACATTCTAATGCAATGTATGTCCGCCATTGAAATACCCAGTTAAATGAATTGATAATACAGAATTTGTCTGGGCATTGTTCATGGGAGTTACATGATAGTTCAGGAGTGTAATTACAGAATCTGTAGAAACAACCGAATGTTACAGATTGCTGTACTGGCCATCAGATTGCTCTTTGCAATTGATACAGTTTTAAAAACTGCTAGGCAGTGGGGTTTTGGATAGGGTTTTTTTTGTTGGGTTTTGTTGTGTGCTTTTTTTTCCCTTTCCCGTTGACTGTTGGATGGATCACTGATATTCAGAATTCTGGCCTCGATCCAACAAGACTCCATAATATGTCCCAACTGCTTTGGTACTTCATTATGCAAATGCTAGCAGACTTCACTAAAATCTGAACCTTTATTTTGTTGTTTGTTTGTTTGTTTTTTTAATTTGCTGAATTTAGTCTTTAAAAGGAGAACCAGAAGTGTTGGAGATAATTTTTTTTTTTTTTTTTTTAAAGTATGATTTCTTCTATTTCTCTACTAAATTTGCCTCAGTTGTTCATGCCTGATTTATTGTATGAAAGTATTCAGAACACCTATGCAGTGTGAATTAGTGTCTGGTCCCTTAATGGGTTTTTTGGAAAGAGAGCAAATACTTTCATAGATGTGTCTAGGGCAGAATTCCTTGTTTTACTAGTATATCCCTTGCTTGTCCTAGAGCAGGAATCTTAGGCTCTTTAAATCCTTAATTTAACCAGTAGGGCTATAGTAGAACATAAATAGCTTTCCTTCTGTGTTTTAGTTCCCATACTAATCTTTGTCTGTTTTCTGTAGTAACTCATTAGGAGTTATACAAGTGAACACTATTAACTAACTTTTTTTTTTTTTAAGCTGACTGAGTTGAACACATTCTTTTTGAAACATATCTTTGTGTTCCAAGCAAGCCACCCTTTAAGCTGGGGGAGAATTCTCTTCATAGGAATCATTACAGCACCCACTGTAAGGTAATTTTCTTGCCATGGTGTTTTTTTCTTATGTTTAGAATAGCTTGACTTCTAGGCACCCAGGAACTGCATATAATTTGTGAGTAAGTACAGCACATTTCAAGGAATTTATGCTTTTGCCATGATGAAAAGTGAAACAATAATCACTTTTCAATAAAGTATGTTTTCTGCCAAGTAAACTAATAAGTTTATAAGTGATAATATAAACATCTGTGTTTCCATAGGGGTGCAGAACCAGTCTGTTCCATCTTCTATTTGTATGGCATCTGCCTGTGTAGTAAGTTAGCTGCATATGTTATCCTTGAGGACTGTATGTAAAAGTATCCAAGTTCATGAGTCAGATGCTCACAAAAGTGTAGATGAGGACAAATAGAGCGGTTGTTTTTTCTAACTGAGCTTCTTACTCTGTTTGTCTACAGGAAATATTTGCATGTTATAAGAAGAGATTTGTTACCGTATTCTGAGTAACAGAACTGTATATACGCAGTGTTAACAGTTGTGTAGAAACATTAACCTGTTTCTAGTCATGCACAGTATTTCACGTTCTTAGCAGAGTCCCCTTAATTCTTCTGTGACATAGCTGGAGGTAGACAGAATGCATACAGTTTTGAAGTGAGAGTCAGGACATTTCCCATTCATGAGTAAAGTGACGTGACCTTGGACAGTTAAATGGCAGCTGTTTATTCCTAAAACGCAGCTGTTAGTGTCTCAAGTTAGGTGCAGTCATTTCACAGTTAACTAAATCACCTTAAACATCCTATAAGCTCCTGTATAGGTGAGCTTTTAAGTATTTTTACGGCATTGCCAACCTGTAGAAGTCTTTATTCTTGTATTGTTGGATTAATAACACTTGTCTTCCCCATCTATCAGTGGAAATTGGAGACAGAGACTGAGAAAAGGAACTTTGGTCCCACTTCTGTGGAATTCCCTTCTCTAAACTCTTTAAAATTTAGAAGCACAAAGAGCATAAAGAACAGAGCAGAATGGTCTCCAGACTATTTTCAAAATAGTGAGAAATTCTACTCTGTTCTTCGGAGGAAAATGTGCCAGTGGTTAGAGCACTCACCTAGGATATGGAATAGCCATATTCAGTTTCTCACAAGATTCAAACCCACATCTCTTAAGAAAATGAAATTGTTAATAAATGAAAGTGTAGAAAAAGTGGAGGATTCTCTAATTCTTTTGAAGCTGTTGCACTTTTCTTGAAAGAAGAGGCAGGAGACAAATATGCAGCTTTTTTAGCCTACTGGTTTGGGTACTTTCCCAGTCCTTGCTCTCAGGATTGTTTTCTGTGTTGTTTCAAGCTATTTGATCTATGTGATAATCTGTCCTGCTAGAATTGAAGCCATCTGGTAGACATCCAGCATGATTGCATTTGATTTTAACCATCAGTGCTTCATTTGCAGTATAGATACATTTGTAACGTAAACTTGTTTTCTAAATGTAAATACTCTGTGGACTTTCAACTTCACTGAAGAATTTTCTTGTTTCCCTTCTCAGGCAATACTATGCGTACCTCACAGATACGCAGTGCAAGAGGGTGGGAACTCAGTGCTGGGTGTTTGGGTAAGTGTTCTTGCTGCATTCTTGAAGCATTTGGACAAGTGTTAAATAGGAGTCCAGCACAGGAAGAGGCTTTGCATGAAGCCAGTCCTTGTCTTGTCTTTAGTATAAAGAACAGTATGGAGAGATGTTAGTGGTTTTTGGTTTGGTTTTTTTGGGGGGGTTTTTTGGGGGTTTTTTTTTGTTTTGTTTTGTTTTTTTTTCTCAAGTTCAGAGGACAGGAAAATTATGGATTTGGAGGTAGAACATGGGAAATGATGGAGTGAATAAGGACAAGAACAGAAGGAAGAACTAGAAACTGCTGGATAAAGCTAGGCTCCTTCAAAGTAGCATTGGCCTTGCTGCCCATACTCGCAGTCAGGAGAGAAGGATAAAGCTTTTGTCTCTACCACTTGCTTGTCATTGGAGCAGTGTTTACCTGGCTGTCAAGGTGGGCATTGCTGCTGTTAGAAATCACAACAGAAGACAGTGAAACAAACAACGGTTATCAACTATTTCTATTCTATTCTCAAAGAGGGAAAAGAATAATGCTATGAATGATGGTTAGCTTGGCTACAATCTCTTTCAACATGTCTATTGGAGGAGGCCTTTAAATGAAGTGTTTGCATGGTTGCTTCTGGTGAGAACTTCCTTCTCTAGGTGGCTTGGCTAAAATGTGCTGTTCTGGAAACCTAAAGCATGTGCTGTTGTAGCATTGTAACAGCATCTTGTAAATAAGCAGTGTAGTAGTGTCCCTTTTGATTTATGACCTGGAAGCTTACAAACGGGAAAACATAAGAGATCCCAAATCACGTCTTAAAGAAAAAGAATATGTATTTTAAGAAACTCTTCAAGAAGCTAATTTCTGGTGGCAATCATTTTAAATTAGAACAGCCATTTCATTCTCTTTGTTACAATTAGGTTATATCTAATTTCCAGAATTCTCTGAACCATTTTCATGTTTAATAGAAGAATCTGTTACTGATTTAAATTGGAATAGCATTTCAATGAGCCGTAAAATACTCAATCTAATTTAGAGACAGTGCTCTGGCAAACTTCTCACCTTTACTGTGAGTTTCGGGGATGTTACAGAGTTTTAAGAACAGTCCTGGGCTGGAAGGCGTGTTTCCAGGTGCACTACACCACCGTAAAGAATATCCTCTTGTCAACATTTAATTGAGATGAGAGCAGAGCATGATGCAGTGTTATTGAAGGGATTTCTACTCTTGTTTTAAATGTAACCTGGAGAACATAACGTATGTCTCCTTGAGTTTGGCTGGGCTTAAATATTCACCTTTTTCACTGACTTACCACCTTCCTGGATGGATCTGTTACTGTGTTCAACTCATGACTGTAACATCCAATGGGCGTACAATAGTAATTCTGTTCTTGTTTAGTTTTACTGGTGCTGAGCAGGAATTGATGGTAATTTTCTGTGAGCCTAAAGCTCCTTACTTAGGGAGGATCCCCCTCCTCAAAACATCCATTATGAGTCCTAAAGAGAGTCTGTAACATACGCGGTCCTTAAAAAGGCGTTGGATTTTTTTAATGATCATGGCAGAGTCACCTGTCTTTCTGGGTTTGGTATGGATGATGCTTTAGTGCTGAAAATACCTAACTAATCACACAGTTAATGACTACTTAATTTACAATTAGAATCAAATAGCCTTGCTCTGCTTGTGCATAAACACCTTAATAGTTACAGGTCAACTGTATTAATATTTTGGTGGTATGCATTTGAATACTGACATGTTACTGGAATCTCTATTTAAGTTATTTAGAAATCGAGATGTTTATATGAAAAAGGAAATTTTCTCAACTATTGATGGTAATTTTAGAGTCTTACAGAAGACACATTTTAACTTTATAACTTTGGGGGAAGAATTTTCAAGTTCTACACTATGAAGAAAGTTTACATTATTAAGGAATCTGCTAGAAAAATCAGAGCAACACTAGGAGTACCTGTTGTTTGTTGGAAAAGCAGCACTCTTCCAGTGATTCAGCTATCCAGAATATAATTTCTGAAGCAGTTAAAAGCAAGTATATAGAATATTCATATCTGTAGTGATCAAGACGCTTCTAAAGGCACAAAATGAATTTGTAACAGACTAACCATGGGAATAATTAAAATTAGTGCATTGCACCGGTATGAAACTGTGTTCTGTGTGACTTGACATACACTGTAGCATCGCTCTCAACAGGTAGACAGTAAGTGATGTAAGGCATGAACAAGGCCGGTACAACAGGTCTGCTGGAAATTTTCATTAAGATGAAGCCTTTCAAAAAGGAATATCTGTTAGGATGTTACAAGACCATTTTGACTGAATAAAAAGTTAGTGCCTTTTAGTTCTATTGAGTATTCTCATCACCCTTCAGTAAGACACTAGCACCTCTCACTGTTAGCATCCTTCTATGTTTTGATTTACCACTTCTTTAACTGTAATAGCTGTCCTATTGTACAATGTGCTTAACCCGAGTATTCTTGACAAGAATAATGGAAAGAATGTATAAACGCAGCACAAACAGCTGTATCATTTTTCGAGTCCTTGTTGAAAATAGTGTATTTTTTTTTTATACCTTTGAGTATATCGTACTCTCATATGTTTGTTTCCTGATGGTGGTCTTTCTGTTCCCACTGCTGTAGTTCAGTTTAACTTTTTTTTTTTTTTTTTTTTTTTTTTTTTTTTAATCTGCAGCTGGATCAGTAAGAATAATGTAAAACCAAGAAAGGAAAACAGTTGGTGACCCAACAGAGTAACACTGCTCTCAAGTTTTTACTAATATGCACCTCATTAATTTGCAGTATTGGTCAATTAGGTGTTATTTCCACAATTCTAAGTTTTGGCCCCACTCATCATGCTGCAAGTCACATTAGATGTACAGAGAAAGCTGTAATATATTATTTGCACCAGGGCCATCTCTGCAATACCAGTGGTTAAGTCATGCACACATCTTTCCCCCCTCTTTCACAGGGGGAGCTGGGTCCTGTCTGACAGGCAGTAGAGCTGTTTTTAGCAGCTCCCTAGTTGTGGAGAGTGCTGGTAGGGAAAATGTACTGCAGTGTTGAGCTTGGGAGTCCACAACACTTGACCTGATGTTAAGTGTGCCTGCACACGTTTAGGAGGAGTGTTCATGCATATGCTCATGTACAACCTCAGAGTCATTACTGAACGAGCGAAATATTAAACTTTTATAAATTTAATAGTTTTCTTCATGATTTGCTTCAGCTCGAGAAGAGTCAATTATCTACACTTTTGCTGCACCAGTCACATTTATACACTTGTATTAAAAAGATGTAATTTTGTGTCCAGGACTTAAACAAACTAAATATATTTCCATGGCAGGTGATCATAGAATCACTTTGGCTGGAAAAGACCTTTGAGATCATCGAGTCCAACCTTTAACCTAACCCTGCCATCCCACCTCTAAACCATGTCCCTAAGCACCTCATCTATCCTTCTTTTAAATACCTCCAGGGAGGAGGAGCTTTGGATTCATAGCCCTTGTTCCACACCAAGTGGTGGACAAGGCTCCATAGCTTTGAGCCTGAAAAGATGTAAACATCTGGTAACGGGTAGAGAGCTAGAGATACTTGTTTTGATTCTTATAATGCAAGAGAGGAAGTAAATACTGCAATTTTTTCTCTCACATTTCTCCGCAAATCCTCTGATACTGTGGTGTGGACCTGAGTTTACAGATAAACCAGAGCAAATGTGTGGATTTTCAGAGAATTTGAAATGCTGTTTCATGTTATTTTTTCATTAAAAGCTATGTGAAGCAAGCAAAGACAACTATTTAGAATTGTAGTACATTTACATCCCATAGAGAAATACCCAAAGCACAGTTCCCATTCACCCAACAGGGTGAGTCTGTTGGTTGTTCAGCATAGAAAAGAAATGTATATCTCTTGAGGGCTGAAGCACAGTGGTAGGTATAAACAGAAAATCTCTGCTATTGGCAAACACTCCTGCTTGTTCCCAGGACAAGCAGAGGCTCGCCGAATTGTGAACTGCCAGTTGATCACTTTGTGTGCTGTTTATGCTGAAGAAAAGTATAGGAAGAAAAATAAATTTCCCAAAGAGTTTCATTTAGTGGTGGTGTTGGAGAGGTATGTGCTCACTAGAGAGTGGTGCTTGTTTAGAGCTGACAGCCTGGGGTCTGGGTTGTGAACATGTGAGTTAAATCCTCAGTGTTTGTAACCACTCCTATCCCCTCCCCTTTCATTTATCCACAGGGTTATTGCTTTCCTTGAAGCTATTGTGTGCATAAAGTTTGGACAGGACCTTTTTTCCAAAACACAAATACTGTATGTTGTGTTTTGGCTTCTCTGTGTGGTAAGTGAGATTTCTCATGTGAAACATGAAGCATGGCAAAAGCATTGAAAGCATCTAAATAGCTTCCTCTCTGGAACATTGGCAGCAGGGGATCATTGTGGGGGGATGCTGGTAAAGTGCTTTGTGCATGTCCTAGGAAAAGCAAGTGCTCGATCATTTAGAACAGACTTTGAAGGGACTAGAGTAACTTTTTTTTCTTATTTCTTGATATAGCAGAATTTAACCACTTTACCAGTGCTTAACAATGAAACAAAAACTAGTTATAGGGTGCTTTATCTTTATGAGAGAAAATGTCAGTTTGATTGAGGCTAACTTTGTTGCTTGCTGTAGTGCCCACTGGAAAGGAACAGGAATTAATGAATAGCATTAATAAGTAATGCATGTTGTTTCACACTGAAGTCTTACAACTATATAAACAACCCTGCTTTATCAGGCAAATCATTCTCACTCAGCCTGCAACTTTCTGTACTTCAGTGTGATTACTGCAAATGCAGCATGAAATGCCCATTTTATAACAGTAAATGGATGTTTGTCTTGCCAGACTTATAACTCCGATGCCAAACACATTTTTAATGGTCAGTGAAAAATAAGGCATTTATAACAGGCTGACAGATAAATACTTCTCCCTCCTAGTTGGGAACACAGTTTGAGCAGGTGATAGGGTGCCGGAATTTATTGTTCTCTTATTTAGCGTGACAATTTTATTCCTGAAACTTCAGAGGAGGAAAGTATTGAATTGCTTCCCGGATCAGAGCACCACAAAACCAAACTTGTAACCCAGCCTGAAGCATGGGGCAGGGAGAAGGAGAAATAGTTTTTTCTCCCAGGCTGGTTGTTCCTGATAACATACCTACAAGTGCTTACCAACTGCCTTTGTATGATGATTGTATGGTGTGAGGACAAAAACCACACTGACAGGGCATGCTCCCATTGAGAATTGGTCTACACACCCCATGGTGGCAGAATGTATGTGTACCTTGAAGTGGGAGCGTGAGCCTTATTCATCCTGAGAAAAGATGTAGAGAGAAACAGAGCATGAAAGTCTCCAAATGCAGAACCCCTAGGGACTCTGAGAGCTTGAACCAGCAAGGAATTTGGAAAAAGTTTTGTGGATTATTTTTTCTTTTTCTTCTCCTCCCTTGTTTAGGCCTTTACAACTTTCCTGTGTTTATATGGTATGGTTTGGTACGCAGAATACTATGGCCACCGAGAAAAGGTACTTTATTAAGAAGACTGTGTTTGTTTTATACAAGAGTTAAAACTGCGAAGCTCCTAGATATTAGAATTCTTTACCAGGGCTAGTATAAACGGGGATGAGAGGGGGATGGTCCAGAGTCTAACTGAAGTCAATAGAAAGAACTCTGAATTCAGCGGGCCTTGGACAGATCCCAAATTACACTGTGGTTTCTAAAGAATGCTGTCCTCTTAGTTACTCAAAATGAGGCTGTAATTTTAGCAAAGCATTCAGGGATGAATGGTTAGCTAATGTTCCCATTGTACAGGTGGAATGCTAGGGGAATATTAAGAATACTTGGTTACACAACAGATCACATGGCAAGTGGCGAGTTCTTATTGTGTCATCTATGTTGTACCTTCTAACTAGGAAGGGAAAAGTCTGAAGCACTGACTGAATGTTTTATGAGGACTTCTGCCACAGTTTAAATTTACAAGTCTAATGAAGTGCTGTGATCACAGGAACCACCAGCATCCCAATGACACGTGTCCTTCTTGGTTTTGCAGACCTTATCAGAAAGTGAAGACAGTCCATACAGTCCAGATGCTTCCTGGCTTCATTCTAAATTCAGTAGAGGTATTGGCACTTTCTCACCTGTATTCTTGAAGTGGTAGCATTAAGGCTTAGCACTAGGAAAAGAGGCTTGAGAAACTTACCTTGAAGACAACTGGAGTTATTTAAACATCCCTGCAGGAGCTATACAAACAAATCATCTACAGAGCTGTTTTGCTCTACTGCCTTTTTTCTTCTAACTCTTGGAAATGTATTTATTTTTTAATGAAGCAACTGAATTTTTCTGCTGTTACTCCAGGCCATTCACGTAGGTTTAGGGCACTGCGCATTTCGTAACTGTTGTGGACAGGTTTTCTCTCTGAATATTGCATGTTTGATTTGAAACATATGAATGTGAACTGTGCTTTTATTCCTGCTTGTTAAGAAACAGTCAAGAATGTGCCCTGGAGCTTTTGTTTGTATTGACACTTGCCTATTCAATGCAGTGCTGGTGGTCATAAACAGCTTTCTCTGTCCTAAGCAAAGGCAGCCTCCTTCTCTGACTTCCCTATGCTAGAGGTCAGATAAGTTACTTGCCTCCTTCGTTAACTCTTTAGTGTCTTCTTGCTTATTGAACAAATATCAGTATTCACACCTGGAAGTTATCTCTGTCAGTGTTTATGCTCCGGGTGTTTGTATCATTAAAAATATTTATTTGTCATATGCTTGAAAAGCACCTACAGCAGAGCTGCTTTATATCTCACACGTGACTTTTCTGGATGTTGATGTTAATTTATTCTCAGTTTAGTAAATTTGTGGTTTTTTATATTTTGGAAGAAAATTGTTTGCACTCAAAATGTTTTTCCCATTTATATATGCCAGAGAAGTCTGGCTAAGCAAATCTTTTTCTGACTTTCTGTTACTTCATTAATTACAAACTTCAGCCTCTTTCATGTTTTGCTGTTGAATTACTGTCTCAGTCCCCATTGTCTTCCTCTGCTTTCTCAGAGTCAAACATGGTCTGTCATATGAAAGACTGAAAACAAGAAATGTATTCTTACAAGGATCTGTGACCTTGCTTCCATAGTTCTTAATTTCTGATAGTACCTGCCAGTAATAAAAATGTGGAGGTTTAATTATCGATGTAATTTAAAATGGAGGATTTCACCACTATATTCTGCTATAGCAAACTTCTGATTTTTTTTTTTTTTTTTGAGGAAGAATTTTTCAGAACTCTCTTAAGAATTGTTGGGGGGGTTTTTTGGTTTTGTGGTTTTTTTCTTTAAATAGGCCACTAGATGGAGTACGAGCATCAACTAATTTGTATTAGCCTGAAATAATCCATATGGCAAACATTGTAGCTCTAGAAAGCCTTACTGTCTTTTAGACAAGAGCTTGACAATGTCAAATATATGTGTAGTAAAAACATATTTATTTCTCAGCAGGTGCTGACAATAGTCCACCAAAACATTCAGTCAATAGTGAAAGCCATTCATCTAGAAGGAGGAATCGGCACTCTAAATCAAAAGTAACAAATGGAATCGGCAAGAAATAAGAATGGTCTCTGAAGATGTCCTACAGTGTGACCAGAAGTGACAAAGAAAATCAGACCTGGCTCTGAATTTCCAAATGGAAGATTGATTTTTAAATTTAAAAGTTTAAAAAAAGGAGGTGTTGAAGAAAAGGATGATCAAGATGGAGCCGCCAGTGTAGTGCAAATCATTGCCTGCTGACACTCGCCATTCACTGATTTAAATCTAGTTTCTTCAGCATGTGGCACCAGAAGTTAATGAAGAGTATGCTGGAAAGAAAATTAATGTTGTCATAGCAGGTACACCCTGTTTTGTGTTCAGGTCTTGCAAGTGCATTTTTAATACCTTAGATGAGGACTTAAACACAAAGGTTAGTAAACTGATAATCAGTTGGTGTAGTTGGTTGGATTTTTTGTTTTTGTTTTGTTTATTGTGGTTTTGTTATTTTCTGGAAGAGTATGCAATCCTTTGACTAAAAGCAACTCTGCCCTTCTTTCTCAGTCTCACAACTAAACTTTTCTATACAACAGTTGGTAAGTTTTTAAAACTTCCATACTTGTATCCATCTGCTTGCTTTTATGTAAAGGCTCTTCAGACCCAATGACAGGGTTTTACCAGCAAAGAAATGGGTCCAGGTTTGTCATAAAGGATGCAAAATTGATCTTCAAACGTGCTTCTTTTGTTCTGCATTGTCCTTCTGCTTGATTGTTACACACTCGATTTCTTTTAAGTTTTTAAAATACTTATATCAAAATCTGTTGCAAAGTAGAGAGCCATGCCTCCTGCCCTCAGAGGCAGATGTCATGCCATTTGGTTGTTTTTCCTCCTTTACTGCAGTGAGTTTTGCATCTTCAAGTGCAAATATGTCATTTTTTTTCAGCTGTGTCACATTGTACACAATGTTCCTTCCCACTCCCCTCTAATTTGCCTCTGCCTCAGCTAGAACCAGAAATCCCAATGTCTTCAGACTGGTATCAGAAACTGCTTTGAAGGCTCTGGTGCCCTACTAAGCCTGGTGATAAGGCAGTTTTTTGCTGAAGTTGAGTTGCTTGCTACTTCTGTAAGCATAATTATTTGTGAAGGCTTGCTGTAGTCTTTGGTGTCTGAGAGGCAGCATGATATTACTGTGATAGAGCCCGTTGCTTTGGTATTTCCTGTCATGCAGTCAGATACCCAACAGCAAAGTCTCTCTTTCTTGCCATTTTTTATGGGTTTTTTTTTTTTCAGTTTGGGGTTTGTTGGGGTTTTTTTTAACATATTAATTCTGACATCTAGCAAAGAGGATAATTCTCCAGCAGTGAACGCAACGATTAAGTCAAGAGGTAAACAATCAAGAGCAATCAGTTCCTGTATTAAGTTGTCAGAATGTTTTTTGTGCCAATTAAATTTTGGGATTCATGGGGTTTAGAGGGGTAGATGGCTTTGGCAAGGATAAGTAATACCCATTTGTCACTTAGTCTTCGTAAGAAAATGGGATTTCCTTTTTCTTTGAATAATGTTACTGTGATTTGCCACAGGCTAAGTACTAAAAAAAAAAAATGCAGCAGAGAATTTATGCAAGTGTATGATACTGTAAATAGAAAAAAAAGTATCCTGTGTAATCCATTAATTCCTATGTGCCACAGATTATCAATGTTTTCAATGCACTTAAGTGTTGCTGCTGAACTCCTCAGAGGCCCTTTATTTCCCACCCCCCTTTTCAATCAAACATAAAGAGTACAACTTGGGAAGTAACACAGTAGAAGCTGCTAGATCGTCATTGCTAAAGTGACATTAGATGTTGCGTGAGAAAAAAATGTTAGGAAGACTTTCAGGCTTTCCTATGACTACTTGGTTTGCATTCATACTATAGCAATTCCATGTGTTGCCTCCTTATTTGTAACGTGCTACATGTTGATGAATGTATTTGTAGATTTCTTTGGATACTGAGACTTGTTATTTTTTATTTTCTTGGTTAATAACTCAGTCTGTGTAAGACTGAAGAATGGCATTGTAAATTTTCTATCTATTCAATACCAAAGCAAGAGATTGGAGGTCTAATGGTTTAGATATTTGAAGTACTGTGGTTTTCAAAGGTGGGAACCTGTTTTGTACTTGCAAGTGTATACACACCAACTATGTACACAAAGCTTACGTGTGTGAGCAGATGCTGAAGTACAAGATCTACTTGCCTGTGGGGACAAGCGCACATTTTGTAAATGCAGACCTGGTGCTCTCACTGCTGAACTGCACCCTAAAACTATTGGAAAGGCACATTTGAAGTGTCATCTTGATGGAAGCTGACTTCTGTATGCTATTGCAACAGCTTGGCCTTGAAGAAATGTTGTTTGACAACACCTTTAAAAATATTTCCCATTAAGTCTTTTTACTTTAATTTTCTGTGTTTCGTTGGGGGTTTTTTTTGCGTGTTGGTTGTTTTTGGTTTGTGGTTTGGTTTTTTTTGGGTTTTTTTTGGTTTGTTTTTTTTTTATTACTTTAAAAGGGTCAAACATAAAGAGTACAACTTGGGAAGTAACACAGCAGAAGCTGCTAGATCGTCATTGCTAAAGTGACATTAGATGTTGCGTGAGAAAAAAATGTTAGGAAGACTTTCAGGCTTTCCTATGACTACTTGGTTTGCATTCATACTATAGCAATTCCATGTGTTGCCTCCTTATTTGTAACGTGCTACATGTTGATGAATGTATTTGTAGATTTCTTTGGATACTGAGACTTGTTATTTTTTATTTTCTTGGTTAATAACTCAGTCTGTGTAAGACTGAAGAATGGCATTGTAAATTTTCTATCTATTCAATACCAAAGCAAGAGATTGGAGGTCTAATGGTTTAGATATTTGAAGTACTGTGGTTTTCAAAGGTGGGAACCTGTTTTGTACTTGCAAGTGTATACACACCAACTATGTACACAAAGCTTACGTGTGTGAGCAGATGCTGAAGTACAAGATCTACTTGCCTGTGGGGACAAGCGCACATTTTGTAAATGCAGACCTGGTGCTCTCACTGCTGAACTGCACCCTAAAACTATTGGAAAGGCACATTTGAAGTGTCATCTTGATGGAAGCTGACTTCTGTATGCTATTGCAACAGCTTGGCCTTGAAGAAATGTTGTTTGACAACACCTTTAAAAATATTTCCCATTAAGTCTTTTTACTTTAATTTTCTGTGTTTCGTTGGGGGTTTTTTTTGCGTGTTGGTTGTTTTTGGTTTGTGGTTTGGTTTTTTTTGGGGTTTTTTTGGTTTTTTTTTTTTTTTACTACTTTAAAAGAGGGATGGCTAGGGAGAGGAGAAACTTAAGTAAGCTATTTGAGTGCTGCTTGGAAAATGGCACGTTGTGTCCTCTGTCAGCAGTTCTGGCTGGAATTCATATATGTTCTCACAAGACCTCCACTGACTAACGCTGGCTGTATTTTCAGCCCCATCGTTTCAGACGTGAGCTTTGTGCTGGCAGGCATTGGAAAGGTGCTTTTGATCACTGCTATAAAATTAGTGATCTCAATTTTATCATTTACTGCGCTGTTGCTGAAATCTATATGTGTGCAACACCTACAATGACAAATCCCTGATCTGTTTAGCAACAAGCATCCATGTACAAGTTCTGCTGCTTGAACAGTATTTTGTAACAGTCGCGGATGCACTGTCCTGTTTTTACCTGCTTGTTCTGCCACAGCCTTTCATTCCTACTTTCCTGCTTCTGATGTTCTTTCCTTTCCCTGTCCTCTTGTGATCTCCCCTGCTGCTAAGGAGAGATCTGAATTGGCCCTCCGGAGGCTGTCCATCAATGATGTCAGTCATTGAAGGGAGGCTAATTTGGGGCAGCATGGTGTAAGCAGAGGGTAGTGGCAAGAACTTCAAGCAGCGGATTAAATGAAAATGGGAAGTTTTAAAATGCAGATATACAGTGAACCAGAGCTAGCCTTGAGTACTGGATTCCAGTATTAAAGTTGCTGCATAGATCATGCACTGCATCTAATTAAATATTTGGAGTGTGATTTCAACCAGTGCTTCTGTTACTCTTCTGTGAAGATCATCATTTGATGTTCCAGCTGTTAAAACTTCAATATTTTTTACTATGTTATCACAAGAGGACACAGATGTTACCATGTATTTAATAGTTTTTGAATAGATTTGCTCTGTATTGGTTGCAAAGTATTGTATTTTGCAATAACTCAGTAAATCAGCCCATGTCACCAGTATGTGTGTTTGTCTCTACCTGCAAGGCATAGGAAATGATTACATACTGCCTTTAGAAACTATTACATTTTATTCTATGTAATTGCATGCTGACAAATGCAGCGGTTCCTGAGCAGCCTACAGTGCACACTAAGGTTTTGCTGTAATTTATTATTTCAGAGCAGCAGATCCGATAATATGAACAGTTATATTCTGCCTTCTGCAGTTTCTCTAGTATACAGGATAAGCCTTGTCTTAATTACTCTTTTTGGATTTGTTTTACTATTGGATGGGAGAAACAAGTGTTGAGTTTGTAAATCTCTTCTGAAAGGTTGGAAAATACCTGATTAAACAATTTAGAAGAGCCGCCGCTCTCACAGGATGCTGTTACTACATTGGAGAAGGCTTTTTTTATGTCTTCATTCTGATCAATTAAAGCATTAAAAATACTGGAAAAAATCTGAAACATTGGAAGAAATTTCCTTTAAGAAGCAACTCTTGAAAATGTGCTCATTTGTAAGCATGAGGCTCCGCTACTTCTGAAGGATCACTCTTTGTTTTGTGCCTTGGTAGTTGCTGTTGCAGGTGGAGCTGTCATCAGCAGTGTCAGGGTCAATGAGCCAGGTGGCTTCATTTCTGCTCAGTTGTCCCGTGGCAACTTGCATGCTATTTTGCAATTAGCATGGTTTAGCACAGACTGGAAGCTAAAGCCTGAGGCAGCATGGTACCGATTGAAATAGGTATCGGTGTCCATGCCTGCTTTGATATCCAAGTGCTCACATTCAACTACATCCTGTAATGTGCCCACAGGCCTAGGCACTGCTCTCCTGTGCCACTGTCTTCTCACCACTATTTTGCCATCTGACCATGCTGGAGCACCGTAAGGACTACATGATCAGGGGCTGGGGTTTAACCAGAGGTTTCTGAGCTGATTTTAAGTCTCGTACACTCAAAATACCTCCTGCAGTACTCTGTCTCCCTCTCCCTCCAGGTCTGCTCTGCCTTCTTATCTACCCGTTGCCATCATGTAGTTTTGTTCTCTGGAGCCCTGGCAGGGACTGCTCCTATTTCAACAAGTTAAGATAGTTCCCTAAAGCTGCAGTTTCACAATTGGATGGAAATGTGTTTTG